ATGGCTTGATTAACACCTGCTGTTGCGTCCCCAATTTCCGTGCAGTTCAATTTCGCATCGACGTTACGATGTGCCACGCATGTTGTCCAAGTGTCGGCATTCGGGCATTTCCTCTCTGCTCTCCGTCGTAAAACGCTAAGGGATATTCACTTGCTTATTCACCTCTGCCGAAATTGATTCTTTAGATTTTAAGTTTCCATAGCGTTTGTTTAATTGTGAACGGCACTAGATTGCTAAATTTCTTTGTATACGTTTTAAAGATCACGTCTGGAAGTTGATTGGCATATTAACATTTTGTACCGGATAGGAGAGTTAATGTGGTTATACCGAAGGCAATCGGAATAAAAGCCCTTACATACTTGCTTTGGATTGCATGTTACTGGTCGCCCTTATTTCTACGTTTTGCATACTAAAGTCTGCAGAGATAAGCGTTTGGATATGTGCTTGCTCAAACTACCCTGATAAACGAGATTTAGTTCGGAGTTCATTACAGATTTAGAGTTTGTGGGCAGAAAGTTATCGTTAGTAGATATATATCATGGTTCCGTAACAACAGCACGTACCAAGGGGCGCGAATTACCGAGTGGTCGATAACGCTATTATAATAAAGTATTCTATAACCATCCCTACAAATCGTATATTTTGAAACAGCGACATGCCGGGTAAATTGTTCTCATAACCGGTTATCGCAAGTGTTAAACAGATCACAGTAGTCATAACGAAGTACCGCAGTTGTGACGTCTAACGTTTTCTAAGTTCGACCAACTTACTAAGATGGTCGTATGTGTTAGTATACAATCAGGTCGTAGTTTGTTTGTTAAGAATGTGTTGCTGGATGTCAAATAGGTGCCTATGTTTGAACCGAAATTTAGCTGGCTGAACTTTAACCATTTTTGTTCCCAACTGACCTTCGGTTTGTGTTTTTCAGTCAGATTGTATGGCTTTGTAGAGTGCTCCAGATCTAGTTGTGTAATCGTGCTTTGCCCAGTCCTCTTTTGTGCTACTGGTGCTGCTGTGTCAATCTCTCCGCAAGAATGTGGAGACAGGGAAGTTACGATTGTTACAAGTTCCATCGAATTGCTCACCGCTCGTGGCATTGCACCATCTGGCTTTAGTCGTATCTCAGTTGTTAACCTGGTAGGAAAATTCGACCAGTTTTTCCCTAAAAATATGCATATTACCCTTGGAGTGTAACACAGATATCTCATATCTGCGATCGCAGCACCTGTAGTTAGGTGATGAGGGAATTCTTATCACGCATTTAGCAGTAACATTGTTCAGAGTGAGCGTATCGCGGATGAAGCAGAACTGCTTTAGTTCTTGTGTCTTCGCTTCGTGATCAGGAGTATCAGAAAACTGCGGAACCCGTGTAAAAATATGGGTTTCTTGCTGTCGCGCTTATATGGCCGCTGGAGGTACCCGTTAATTTTTGGTGATGTTCAGAAATAAGGTCTGGATATTTGCGCAACCCTCTCAGTAAATTGCCAAAACAAGCTGCTGAGAGTAAGTCAGTCTCTGTCACGTCGCCAAGTTTATTTTTCTCCAAGAATTCGCAGTTCACCTAATGGCACTCAGGTCAGAAGAAGCGCTACGCCTCACAGCATAGTGGGCTGAACACAAATATCGATCGCACTGCAGATAGCGTTACACTGTTTACGATCGTCTAGCACGTTGCTGTTTGTTGTGCAAGATTTGCACTGTGGAACTCTAGTGCACAGGTGAGTTTCTGCACAGTTATACTGTCTAACGAATGTCTATTACAGAGTGTTCGCTGGTACTTTGTTTTCCAAGAAATGCCGCGTATTTGGCGAATAAATTTAGGTTTTCCGGTGTGTGCTAGACTCTAAAGATATACGTATGTGCGTTATTCCCGTCATGTTCATTGCGACGAACGATGTGCGCTTTACCCGATATTTCTCTACACTGGAATGCTTTCAGTTCGGACTGTTGGTTCATGACTGAAAATATAGGTGAAATATTTAAGAATTAGTTTATAGTAGTGCATTTTTACGTTATAAGTTGGGGTTATAGATTATAGCAGTAAATGGAAAGTGAATTGTCGCTTTTAAGAGCTATTATGTGTCGGGATGAGTGGTGCAGATGCTGCGGGGTGTATTGTAAGGCTGACTATCTTTGGCAAAAAGAAAAGGCACAGAGTTGGTTGTCGTGGAGCAGGATCGAGTTACTTCCATTCTAATGACAAAGCACTAAGACTATCCATCTGCTCATTTGTATCGGTTGAAATTTCGAATTTTCTCCATGCACACCTACTTAGTTGACAATAAAAACTGGTTTGCATACCCAGTACTACCATAGCGCATCAAACACATTGGTGAGCCTCTTAAATTTTACCTGACTTCCGCGACCACACTCAGTGTGGAATAAGAAGCCGCAGTTCGATCACGTCCGACCATCCTTCACCACGCGGTTGCATACCGATTCACTGCACTTGCCGCTAAGTGGGAACATTTCCAGCTATTTTGGCAAAGAAACACTGCGCCCCTTCGATCTCGTGAGCTTGAGTGTGAGCGTATGTCAAGTTCACTTCAATGTCTCGCAGTTGACACCGGTTAATGTTAGCGGGATTCACATGTGGATGACACCCACGCACGCGCCGCTTGGCTTGTCCGGTCACTTGTGGTGATCCCCAAGTTTGTTTTGCCTGACACACGGTTGGCGTTGGTTATCGTGAGTGTGTTACGGCAACGACTCACTGCACGGGGTTTGACTGCTTTATTGACCCACAATAGTAATTGTTGCATACGGCTATTCAACTTGTCGGTGGATATTAGCGACAAGTGTCGGCAATGATCTAAGGCCAGTGGAACCGCCTATTCAGTCGTAGCTTCTTTAGAATCCATCCTGTAAGAATCATACTATTACCAAAGGATAGCGCGTGTACTAGGTCTACGATCGCAGCTTCGAAATAGTGAGAATTTTACAAGCCAGCACGGCGTGACATGTGGATATGAGTACGCGGCGTGCTAAAATACCGTGAGTAAACAAAACAATTTTTGCCGAAATTAATAGCATTCAAATGTGTCCATTGAATTCGGGAAGTAAATCCGAATTCAGTGAGTGTAAGATATCTGCGCTATATGAAGAGAACTTGCGAAACTCAAGGAGAGCATGGAGCATATTTTCTATGCTTTCGTGTCGAAACTTCCTCTGCTGATAGCTGTACCGCGGGGTTATTCATTAGAGTAATAATTTTGCTGTGTAAGTCAATAATTGTATACTTATTCGCAAATATTTTTTAGTATAATCTTGGCATAACTACAGTTAGGACGGACCATTTCTATTTACTTCAGTCGACGAGCACCTTTGCGCTTAGAAGCATATTCTTCGAGTCTGCGCAGCCTTTTTAAATAAATGAGATGCAAACCTATCTATACAGATAAAAATCAGTCTCTATCGTGCAACTGATATCAGAACAACAGTAGAAATCGTTGGTTAACTAGGAACAGCCGTCGAGATATCAGAGCTATATAAGTTGTTAAAGTCTGTAAAGCTAATAATCATGTGTATTTTCATTATGTGGCGATTTTTGAGTTGAATAATATCCTTGTGATTCGTATTGAAAATATAACGGGATATAAATTCAAGGTGGCATGATCTGAGCTCCAAAGCAATGCTTTGGTGTAGACAGAAAACGTGTTTTAAAAACACTAATCATATGGTTGCGTTTAGCCTAGCGATGGATTGCACGGGATTTCATATTTCAAAACTGATAGCGAAACTAGTGTTTTCTCAATTGTCCTCAATGTCAATATCGCATAAAAAGCCTTTTAAATGTTGTGTGTGAGAAATGGTCTCACCAGTTTTCAACCTCAACTAAAGAACAGCTTGGTGAAACGGATGTGTTAGCTAATAGATCAGTACGCAAGGCGCTCTAGTATGATGACAAGCACATCCTTTTTGGAAAGCTATTGCGCTGTGGAAAATTAAAAAGATGTTTACCAAAGTGTACCATTAAGTATTCATGTACACATTAATTCCACTGCCACAGTCCATGTATGTATGATGGTGGTTAACGCGATGCGCTATAAATCCGACCATTGTTACCAATGTTATCTTCCACTTCCTCGTACAGCCAGGTTTCTTGTAGCATAATCAAGTTAAGTCCGGTATTCATCATATCAACTTGTTATCATTTAAAACTCTGCTCTTTTACAATCAAACATACATTCAGGCTGATGAAACAGGTACAATCAGACGGCTCAGTTTTATGCTTTTTATTGCAACCCTCCATTCTGCGCGTTCTTTTCTAGTGAAACCAGTTCACCCCTTTGTGTTTCTTTAAATAGGTACTTTGTAAATCACCATAAGAAACTTATGGATTCATGTTCGGGAAAAGGCACAAAAATTTTTACCTTCACAGACATAGTTTACCATGCCGCGCTTCGCACAACAAAAAATAATGAAATAAAGCACATGTGTGAACATGAAAGATTTACGCAGTCAGTATTTTGTGGCATTGGTTTTTCTTGTTGGCATTTTGCGATCGCTTATTTATTTTACTGACGGCACGTCCAGATCACCTTCGAATTACATGGTGATCGTGCTCTACGTTACACTGCGCTCTTGCTAACTTGCTTCTAATTCTTATTGCTCTGTACAAGACAAGTTGAGCCCCGCATTATTCACAGTTCATACCCGCATTAGATGGTATTGGTTCTCGTCACAACCAGTAATTTAGTTCCGCTCTACGTTTGTGTACTCCTTCGCAGCCACCTTGAATACCGCCTGCCGTTAAGAGAAAACCTTGCGTATTCCATTAGTTTTCCCAATTTCTTCATGTGGTAACATTTTGTAGTGTATTATCATGGCATGAAAATTTCCGAGCCCGCTTTTACTCCTACGATCCCCGTCATGCCCTTTATAAGCACTGATCCACAGGTTTTGTTTGTATGCTTAGAGTCGGAATGTACTCCTCGTAAGGCCACCATTGATTCATCAAAGTTTATTCTATTACTTTGTTGACACCCTGCACTTTAAACTACAACACAGGTGCCCTCTGTTGAAACCTGTTTCCCAACTGTGTTATGACACTTAAACCAGCAGTCATTAGCAGTATCATCACGATGTCTGTTGATTCCACATGAGCCTTGAAGCCGAACCGCACATAGCCGGCTGTTGATTAGAAACCAGTTGAGTAATGCAGCCTCCCCTTTGTCACTCAATGTGATACCGACACCAGCTAAGCCGGCTGCTGCTGCCTCCATGTCACTAGACAGACGTAGGTAACATGTGGCCTCAGGAGCAGCTGGGGACAGAAACTTAACCACGGTACTGGGATCCTGTGATCGAGTCTCTGAAAGGCAACAAACATCGATAGCGAGTGACTCTAGAGTGTGCGCAAGGCCAGCCTGTGTCCAACTAGGAGGGTCCGAAATTGAAGCTGCCAGACGGAATGAATTACGGGGTCGAAGGATAGCTGATGGCCGGCTGATTTGGATACCAGCAAGACAGACATTTGAAGAAGTTTCAACTGGTTGTAAATTATCAACAGGAGAAAAGTTGGCGTGGGATGGAGAAGCACGAGTAGCAGCGAAAGTAGCATCAGAAATAAGCGAAGTAAAAGTAATTGAAAAATCCATGATTTTCACAGAGGCCACGGTACTACCCGGTTGCCCAAGTCGAAGTAGGGAGTTGTCTTAGGGGACTCCACCCTGAGTCTTTGGCTCAATAACCCACCCGCAAGGCAGTGGAGCGAAGCCAGGGATTCGCACCCATTGATTGCTCAGTTCATACGCCTTTCGTTTGGTGAGTAGCCAAACAGGGGCCCAGTCTTCCCCACGCTTTCAGCATCAAGATGCTGAGATACAACCCTTCGCCAAAGTGAAACAAGGGGCGGGGACTTTATTTAGTGGTGAGTCACATCCACCAGGTCGCAGTGTTGTTAAACGGACACATGTGATTTTTATAGGGAGAACGCTCGCCAGGCGAAAACCCACCACCTCCTGGAACACTGTCGCCGAACCATTCGTTGCACCGAGATAATCCCGGACCACCCAGCTGGCAACACGAGGAGGTTGTTCGGCAGGCCAGCGTATACCGAAGACTGATGTAATCCCGTTGTTTGGGCTCTTCGAATTTTGTGTATGTCCTTCGGTCTTCGTAAAGCAGCTCAGACTTCAACGATTCGTCAATTAAGTCACTAGAGGTGTAGCTTTCGGCTATTCATAATTCGACGATATCCTAGTTGCAAGAGCTTCTTAAAAACAACACGCGGAACATCTCAGGATGCTTTTCGCTAGGCTGGCCGCTAATACCATCACTGTCAACACTGACAAATGGGTATTTCAGCAGGCCAGTCGTATTTCTTGGCCACCATATTGATCAGTATGGCATACTGCCTCCAGACGATAGCGTCCGCGTCATCCGAGACTTTTCAATCCCGACTACGTTAGACGCTATTTGCTGTTTCAACGTCATGCTCAACTATTATCCATGTTTTCTTCCACACTATGCCAATTTGCTAAGCCCACTAACCGACCTACTTCGTTGACACCAAACGGTCAGGTGGAACTGACTGCTGCTGCTCCCAAAGCTTTCAAGGCTAGCAAATAGGCCTTAGCCAAAACCGTTAAGCTCCACCATTTCGATTCGAACGTTCCGCTCAGTGTCGCTGTTGGCGCATCGGACACCGCGATTGGGGCCGTCCGACAGATGGATGCTGGAAACTACTCCTGCCTTCTAATCTAGACGCCTACAACCTGCCGAAGTCAAGCACAGTACGTTCAGTCGTGAACTGCTGGGCGTTTACCGTTCGGTGTTTCCGGCACGTACTTGAAGATAAGACCTCAATTATCTTCACCGATCACAAGTCGCTTATCTACACATTACGAAATCAATCACCTCGACACTCACCACGTGAGATTCCTCAGCTGGATTTCATTGCCCGATTCTCGACTGATATCCGACATATTTCTGATCAGCAAAACGTCTTCGCTGATGTTCTTTCAAGAGTATCTGCGATCGGCCCTGCCGGGCAGACAAACGATTTGTCTGCTATGGCTGCCGCGTAACCAACTGACCAGAGATTTTCGGAAATAAGTGATTCTTCTTTGACGCTATCCCCAAACCCTTTGCCATCAACTGATGGTACAATTTTATGCGTCACATCTACCAGTGGACCTCGATCCGTCGTTCCAGAAGACTTTCACCGTACCATTTTCGACGCCCTCCACAATATCACCCACTTAGGTATTAAAGCTACTGCTATGCGTGTCTCCGAAAGATACGCTTGTCCGGGGATGCAATGTGATCTTACGCTTTGGGCACGCAGCTGTCTCACCTGCCAGCAAGACAAGATCCAGCGGCACGTGTCCGCTCCGTCTGGTCGCTTTCCGTCCGTTTCAGCGCGATGTGCCCATGTCCAACTCGACGTAGTGGGACATTTGGCCCAGTCCAAAGGAATGATCTACATTTTGCTCATGATCGATCGTTGCACTGGTTTGCCCGAAGACGTTCCCATCCCCGACGTAGTTGCGGAAGCCGTAACGCACGCTTTCGTCAAGCGCTGGGTAACTTCACACGGCTGTCCAGCCATAGTGACGACGGGCCGCGGTTCGCAATTCGAATCTTCGACCTTTAACGATACCCTTAAGCCCATTTTATGCGGAAGCATTCACAAGACCGCCTATCATCCACAGGCGAACTGCATGGTAGAACGTTTCCGCCGACAGCTGTAAACCTCATTTAACGCCGCCAATGCGCTTAGTTGGACTGAGCTGCTGCCTATGATCTACCTTGGGATACGATCGGCCCTAAAGGCTGATCTTCGGATGTCTAACACCGAGTTAGTATATGGAAAACCATTACGTTTACCTGGCGATTTCTTCTCCGATAGTTTCAGGATTACACGTGACGATGCGAATTATGCTCGTTAGCTGGCCAGGAGCATGCGTCACTACAAGCTTCCCGACGTCCGAAAGCAACAACGTAAGCCCTTTGTTCCACGAGATCTACAGCACTGTCCGCCCGCTTTCCTCCGCGTCGATGATCTTCGCAGACCATTGGAGCGACCTTACGAAGGTCCTTTCAAGATCCTGCACAGTAAGCACCGCGACTTTATCATCGACCGTCACGGTAAACGAGTATTTACGATTGACCGTCTCCAGATTGTGTAGGTGGAACCTGAGCTCGATGAAGACCCTTGCTCATTGTCTGACGAATAAACTCAGCCTAGGATGGAAGACTCACCTGCTTCCAAGACCTCAGCCACTAAGCAGCACTCTCCATCGGTGCCTTCCACTTCAGATCCGCCGCTTCCCATCGAACCAAGTGGAACGTCTGCAGCAATTCCTGCAACTATACGATCCGATAGAACGCCTAAGAGGATGCCTTCCTTCGAACCACATAAGTCGGCTAAGTCGGGTAGGTGAGTTCATTGGCCAACAAGATTAAAAGATTAGTTTTCTTCCGAAAACTAAAAACGAAAATCGAAAAGCGAGCGAAGCTTTTGAAAACACCAAAAAAGTGACAATACTTGTTGAAAATACAAAAATAGCTCAAAATGTTTCGAAAACAAAAAAGAAAACGTTCTGAAAACATAAACAGTTGCGTTTTTTTGGCCCCTTGCTCATCCCGTAAGTGTCATTGTTGCGCTTGCCCTAGTCAGCGTGGTCACTGTTCTTGTTTCCGTTTATCTTCCAGGTAGGAACCGGAGGTCACGAGCTTGCGGCGAACATTTGACACTCAGGAACTTGTGAATATTTCACATTCACGAAATTGTGAACATACGAGATTTTCCATCAGACCGGAACTTCTTGTGGTGCGAGGGCTTGTGTGCTTCATAGACCCATTGAGCTATACAAAGTGGTGTATTTTTGCACCTTCAGAGCCACTCATACCAGATTGATCAATAAGTAGAAGCCAGCCAAACGCAACTTCCTGGTCCTCCAGGTTGAGGGTTGAAATGAGGGTGGCTTGTAACTCCTTAAAACGGACTCCTTGTAGCCCAACCTCAAACCCGCTGCCTTGCAGTCAGGTTTTCGAACCAAAGGCTTTGGTTGAGAACTCTAATCATTCTTCTGTCTAGGCCTTGGCAACCTGGTAGTATCCCGCTCACGCAATACAATGAATCTCCCTTCACACAAATTTCTGATGCTCTGGCCACCGCAGAGGATACTCAACGGTGCCCTTTCGGCTGAAGCGAGCAGGGTGGATAGGGATTTGGTGGCTATTGCTAAGGCTTCCCATCATTTTAGTATCTCTTATGCTTTTTCACCCTTATCGTCTCATACGAGCTTCACTTTTATCCCCACTGTTTTCAATCCTCTCATTATTGGTCCTAGCGCAACATGCTTTGCTTGACTTTTACCTCCTAGTTTCAACTCACAGGTGAACGCAGAGCGTCATTCCTGTCTTGTTGACAAGTCCATGACCAGGAAAGCGACCAAGCTCAGTTCATCGGCTTCCATTTGGAGTCCTCTACCCTTCTTCAGATTGGCATGCCTCAATGTATACACATTGTTACAAATCGGTCAACAAGCAGCCCTTGCCTGAACATTATAGACCCACTCGATCGATAGCTGCTGCTTATCGGAGACCCCCGTGCAAGACTCGAGTTCTGTGCTCATTTTGCAATCCCCTTCAGGTGACACCAGCAGCACTTTCTCACTGCGCCGATCCGGTGACGATGCAGCTCCGAGCACCAGCCCAGCCAGTTTGGGTATTACCCTGAGTCTCCGGGCTGAAGCTGCTCTAATTTATTGGGTCCCAATCAGTAGCCGGAAGTGTACGGTCCTAATGGCTGACTCGTGCAAAGCTTCGAAGTCGCGCAAGACTAACAGGTGTCTATTTGTCATCGCTGCCTATGCACCCACAAACTCTTGCGAGGGTTCGGTAAAAGACGACTTCTAGCGCCAAAGGAACAAGCTCATTCGCCCCAGAAGAAGTTCAGACACTGTATTGATGACTGGGGATCTGAACGCTCAAGTTGGAAAATTATCCACTGATGAACTGCATGTGGACGACCAACATGGTGTAGGCTCCCGTAATGATAACGGTGAATGATTACTTCATGATTACTTCATGCTCGCTTATTTCTTGTGATCACTAATTTCCGACAAATCCCTCGCCGGAGGGTGACTTGGCGCCCCCCAGCCTCGAATCAGCAATGGACGCAAATCGATCACATTGCGCTAATTTGCCGCTGGAGAGGCTGCATCCAGAACTGTCGCTCGAGTTGAAGCACCTGTATGAATACCGACCATGCACTTGTATGTGCTGACCCGCGGATGCCTTTTGGCAGACGCCCACACGGACGTTGTGAGCGCATTGACACCAGCCAACTGACAGAGCCAGCTGTTCTGAATGCCTATCAAAGTACGCTGACATGCGAGTTGAGTAAGCGCTCACTGGATACAATTGATGCTCATTGGTCCTATGTCCACCAGACCATAATAACAGCAAGCAGATCCTCATGTGTTATCTCTAAGCGCACCATGAACATTGGGCTCTTCGCCTTCTCTGGAACTTATGGATGCTCGTCAGCATATTCCGGCTGGAAGTGGACACAATGGAACTCACAAAGAGCTTCGGGCAAAACTCCGTGCTAGTTGGAATAGAGATCGCGAATCCTGGTGGGCAA